TACATACATACATACATACATACATACATACATACAATATTATTAAAATGATTGCTAGAAAATCATTAGGAAATTTATTTTGTGTAATTTCAAATTAAGCTGTAAAAAAAGTAGGAATGTCTCCGCTAACAGAGGACATTTTCAGAGTTTTCTAGAGGGGTTCTCTGAAAGTTGTGATCAAACATTCTTACATTCTTAACATTAATAGAATGTTTGTTCAAAGTTGTCTTAATGTTCTAAAACCCTAACATAAAATTTTGTGCTGTCAAACGATTAATCGCATCCAAAATAAAAGTTTTTGTTTACATACTATATGTATGTGTACTGTTTATTATATTATATATAAATATACTTAATATATAAACAGCACATTTTTCTTAAATATATACATGCATGTGTTTGTATTTATATATACATAATAAATATACACAGTACACGCTCATATATTATGTAAACAAACTTTTATTTTGGATGCGATTAATCGTTTGACAGCACAAATAAAAATTCTATTTATACATCATTCATGGAACATTTTAGTTGAATGTTTGTCTAACGTTTTTTAAATGTTACTATTTGTTTCATAACATTGGAAAATAACATTCCCTTAATGTTTGCAAATTTATAAAATGGAATGTCCCCTAATGTTTGTATATAACCAAATAAAAACGTTTTTAAAACATTCAAAAAACTGTTAGCAAAACATTCTCAGAACATGTTTTTGTTAGTACTGTTTAATTGTTTAAAAGTATGTTTTAAGGCCAAAAGTGCCTATAGTTGAAGAAAACACTTTCAGTATTGTGCAGACTTTATGGTAATACATCAATGTATAGTAAATCAACGCAATTATGTATTTCAGAGGTATGCTGCAATATGTTTGAAAGTTTGACTGAAGTGAGAAACTGGGTCAATTACGGCAAGAGATACAGATGGCTGTTTGTTCCACTGGTCAAAAGTATACCATCTATGTTGAGAAATCAGTGGGTGTCAGGAAATGTATCTTTTTTTTTTTTTGTCTCATTGATTCCCCACATTCCCGGTTTAGAGTGCAAATGCCCTTCCAACAGTGAAGAAACACAGATAATTGGCCACTGTTGACAAGTTTGTCCAGTAGCTGTGTTAGATTTGCTTTTTAACCATGAACATTTAGTTAGGAGTCTAGAGCAACACATGGCAATGAACTGCTTGAAGTATTTTATCTCAGATGTTTTGTTTTTAATGACTTTTGCCTTGCCCAGACAAGCACACACAAAAACAAAATCCCAAACAGACACCGGTAAAACTCAGATATGAAATAGAGTATGTCTTTCAGTACACTATAAGCTACTATTTAATTAAGCAAAGAATAGCTGCAAAGGGTAAGTACTAGTATTATGCAGACTAAACTAGAGCTCTTTAATTCCGAACCTGTTAATCAGAGAACTCAACGCCTGACATCAAAGGATCAAGAATGTGTCGATTGTAATGAGCAGGATCACTCATCAAAGTGTGAATCTGGCCTTGTCCACTGTAACACCCAGCATGTATGTAAAAAAAAAGGCATGTGGGCAATTGGCAAAGTAAATGGTTTCAAAGTCTACAGATTTTATTGCTGATTAGAGACAGTGCAACGCTGAGCGTAAATGAGATTTGGAGAAGATGAAGTGCAAAATGAGGGCCGACTCTTCAGATGAACTGTTACAAATGATACAAATTATTTGGATGTAACTCACTATGATGTTCATGCGTTTGAAGCTTTGTTAAAGGTGGGGTAAGCGATTTCTGGTAGCCAATGTTGACAAAATGCAGACATGGTTTTATGTTTACGTGGCGCGATGCAATGCAAAGCGTAAAAAGACAATACAAGTCATTATAATCAGCATTTATGTCCCCACTGGATGCAACAAATGCCTCATTTATAATGGGTTTTAATGTTTTTGTCTCGTCGCTCCGGCCGGGAGACGGCATCACAGTATGGTAAGGGGCGTAACATTTCCGTCACACGCTTGAGGTATTCAGCCAATCACAACGCACTGGATAGCTGGCCAATCAGAGCACACCTAGCCGTTTCAGCGTTTCAGAAAGGCGGGGCAGAGAAGAAACAATAATGTACGGTATGTGGAAAATGTGTTTTTTGAACCTTAAACCGCACAAACACATCGAGAAGAAACAAAGCAACCTCGGCGTCCGATCGCAGGCCTTCCGCTCCTTGAGTTCTCTCCAGCGCTGGAAAGCTGATCTGATATTTACACGGGTCCTACTTCTTGCCTTAAGCCTTCTTTTGTTCCGCAGATGTTTTCCTCTTTTGTTTTTTATCCGCCATCTCTATCTTTCTGTGCTCGGCTCGCTAATGTCCGTCCTGTGCACTGAACGCTCTCTCCTCCACATCATGAGTAGACACGCCCTTTACTGCTGATTGGCTACAAGTTTGTTTTGCTAGTCGGCCCGAATCAGTTTTCTAAAGCGTTTTTTAAAAATCGCTTACCCCACCTTTAAATATTATATACAAAATATATAGCTATCTGTATCTTCCTTTATTTTAAAACTTTAAATTAATGCTAACCATTAAACAAGTTACTATCAATAAATCAGTAGGGGAAGAATAATAAACTTAGAAAAAATGTATCTACATTATGTATAATTAATGGTGATAATATATTCAGAAAATCCATTAATATAGTTTAACAGCAAGCAAATGTCAAAATCTAATCTTACTGTTGCAACTACATAAATATATAATACAATATTCTATTGTGTCTGGTAGAGTGTTTTACACGATTATATTTGGATGCTTTTGAAGTCATTAAACAAATGTATTTTGAAGGACAGATGTTCCCTGGACCCGATCTATGTGAAAAACAACAGAACCATATGTTGTGTATATTGTATATTGGCAAACATTACCCAACATTTCCAGAACAGTGGTGGCAAATTCCTTTAATCCTATGAAACAAAACAAAGGGTATAAACATATGCTGTTGCACATTAAATATCTTTTGAACATTGTTAACCTAGTGCACAAGTAAACTTGGATAGTTCTGCATATAGTGAGAGCTACACTTCTTGGTGGTCCCGTTTATTTGACCATATGCATAATAACATCAATGAACCCACATGAAGGCAGACCGGTGTGCCATGTTCCCAATTTTCAGTTCTTTGTCATGGTGAACTTGAGAGCAACGATTACAAAAAGTGACAAAATCTTGCAAACCACTAGACTCCTCGTGCCCAGAGAAGTGACTGATTGCCTTCACAATGGGCAATTAAAACAATGTGAGTTTCCAGCAGGTCTGAGTCCATTTGGATGTGTTTGGCCTGAGGCATGGCTCACTGGAGAGAGTTAACAGCAGAATAAATACCCATCTTTGCAGTCATTATTAGGCTTAGAGCATAATATGCCCGAAACTTGCATCGGTCCTGCTCTGGTTTGTTACAGTTTACTGGCGTATTAAGAAGGGCCATGGAGATTATGATGTCTGTCAATCTGCATCCAACCCAACTACCCCGGTGCTATCATGGCCTCTCCTTGATCTTGTGCAAATTTCTTCCTTCATAGGGGATGAGGGGAATTGGATCGTGCAGGCAGTTGAGCAAAGGCTTGTTTTGATGTTTATTCATTTGCTCAGCGCTCAATCCAAGAATGCAGAAAAGTGGACCTCTGATACACAGTTTCTATCAAACTTTAATGAGGCTGAATAAATTAGCGACACAAATGATGTTGTTTTAGAATTTTACATCATTAACTTTGTCTCTTTGTACAAAATTCTGCATATTTCATGGCAACAAATGCTCTCGTTTCAGAAGAAGGCACATGCTTTCATCAACCAATCTCTGTGAAAGACTGAAACGTTCAACTTGGTCTCAAGTTCTCCTGCCGTATGTGTATCCCAAGTCAATCAGAAGGCTGTTTGAGGCAAAGTCTCAACTCTGATGCAACTCTGTTCCTACATGAAGCCTGACTGGCTCTATCGTTCCAGTCTCTACGCCACATTTGGGGCAGGTAAAGCAGATGTCAGCGATCGTGTGGCTCTTGAGGCAGTAGTAGCAGAACACGTGTTTGCAGCCGGCTGAATGGGGCATTGTGGGCCACTCCCCGCAGACGGCACACTCAGTGCAGTGGGTCTCCTCCGAACCTTCCGTTCCTCTCAGTTCCTTCAGAGGGGAAAACAGAGCGGCGACACTGGCCTTCAGCTTCCACACATTTATGAGAGGCAGCAGGAAGATGAGGAACTCGGCAAAGCCGTGCCACAAAAGCTCCCGGTTCAAGAACTGGAAGTTGATGTCTCGTGGTCCCTGGGGTCCCCTGAAGACAGGCTGTACTCCCAGCAACCTTTCGGTAAGTGTTGGATAGGTTCCTCTTTGGAGGAACAGTAGGAAGTTGACCAGGCTGGCCACTTTGGTAAGGCCCATCAAGATGCTGAGTACCTTGCGGGCCTTGCGTGCGTTGGATTCTGCAGGGTGGTTGAGGAACAAGCTATGGGAGCGTTCACTTAGCCACTTTTCGCCGACCGTCAGCAGAGCGAACCAAAACTTCTGTGGCCGGCTCATGGGCCGGTACTTCTGTCCCGGGATAAGAGCGTTCTTGTACCGGATATTGAGCAGTGATTGGCCCACGGTGGCACTGTTAGAGTAGACTGTGAACCTCCACAAAAGGAGCTGGAGAAGGGCCTTGAGTTCTGGTTCCACAGGGGTTAAGAGCCCAGGCTTGAAATGCTGGAAACATTGGGTGAACTGTGACCAAACAAGCTGTTCCAGTGCACCATCCAGTTCAAAAGCATCCAGCTGACTGATTCTCAAAACCCGAGATAAAGGGCTTGGGCCGGCCTTGGCGAAAGGCTTGTCACCTCCAGCTCCAGCTACAGCTACAAGCAGAAGAAGCAAATGGTTATGCATTTTTGCATTTGAGTTTAAATCACTTTTCACATGTAAAACCCGTCCTAAATTCCCTTTTAGCTGTGCAGGGCAGAGGCACAGGAGGTCTTACGCTGTTCCCTCTCGAGATTCTTTCTGAGGACAAATCACATCACAGGAGATTATCCCAACAGCATAGGCTTGGAAAGGCAGTAAACATCCGCTATGTGGAACTACTTTACTTTGACGGCTTTTTATAAGGGATCTAAGAACTGTGACGTTTGCCAATTTTTCATGGAATGCATTTGTATCGGGCTGAGTTTATCTCTTTAAACGTCATGGTTAAAAAATGAGAGCCAGGAGCTGCGGTGACCACCTCATAGCTTAGGACTGGATTTGGACAATATCTGAAATAAATTGGCTTATGAAAATTGCAAGAAGCATCTTCAAATCTTTAAGGAAAGTCTTTTTTCAATACTTCAGGTTCATCTGTGCCTAAAACCTTCACCCATTTAAGAATGAAACTTAAATGGACAATAAAAAAGGATGCAAGATGTTCATGAATCAGTTGAAAAATTATCTGCTTTAAACACATGTTGGAAACTGAAGTTACGCTCATTGTATAATCAGTCAAAACTTCCCCTTTTAGGCTGCAGATTATGTTTTGTACGTGTCGAGGTTTACAGACCAGTTCAATAGTTTCTCAGCTAAGGAAAAAATCCTTCACTGCACGGCAGCACTTGGCCAGGTGAGACAAATCATTGCGGCAGGCCACTCTGGGGATACGGCTTTTCCATGTTCTCGTCATAGGCTTTTATTGAGCAGTTTACAAGTTATGAATGAATATGTTTTATTTGAGAACATAATATTGACAGCGACCTATCAATAGTAATGTGACTATTGTCAAGGGCCTGTCAATAGTAATGTAATTATGATTTAGAGGATCACATAGATGTTAGCTCGGGCAAGTAACATCTCTTATAGGACTGCTATCAATATCAGGATTACTATTGACATGTTCTCTCAGACTCAAAGTACTTGCCAAATATATAATAACTAGACACTTTTGTCAATGTGCACTGCCTATAAAAATTAAGCATTTGAATGTACAGGGCTTTAACCGGAAAGCTGAAAATCCATGCGTCTTATGTAATCGACCAAATTCGTAATCAATGGCTGTGTTTACCTCTTTTGTAATCAGAAGACCTGGCCAACATGGAGCGCAGTGATTCATACACGTTTACAGTGCCACTACAGTGCACTCGAAAAAAAAAAAAAAAAACTTCAGTGACAAATAGCCAATGAAAACGTGGCCTAGCTAAAACAATAGTAGTCTGAATAAACAACTGGAAACAATAAGTATATTTGTAAACTGATTTTCTCATTAGCTATATATTTCAACAATATGACCGCTCTGTTATTTATAACCCTACTGCAATTTACAGTTGAATTTTCTAGGAAATGGAGCCCATCTTCAGGCTGCAAAATGGATGGGGAACATGCATATAAGGTTATATCAGCCAAGTCAAGGTCCTGACAAGCAGTCCTAAATGACAAATGCCTGACACCGGCACGGGCTATAAAACATGTTCTCCTGAGGCAGCCCACTGGAGGCTCAGGCCTGCAGTTCTGCAACTGATAAGCTGGGTCACAGAGTCACCTTGGATTTAGCATCACAAGGCGGCAGGCCATGATATTCCTGCAGCGACTGGACAATTTGGAATCTGGAGATTTTTAGGAAGTCTGTGGTTACGTGACCTTGCTTTTGACATTCTGTCAGCTTTTGCATCTTTGGGGCAAGTCGGAGAAGACCTTACATCTGTTTATTTAAACAACAACATATTTTTACATGGCTATAGTTTTTGCTTTCTTATATATATATATATATATATGTGTGTATATGTATTATGTTATATTATTATATTTATGTACGTATATTATGTTACATTATAAGTTTAGGGTCAGTAAGAATTTAAAATTTTTTTTTGAAAGAAGTCAAAATACAGTAAATAGTAATACTGTGAAATATTATTACAATTTGCAATAACTGTTTCTATTTTAATAAAAAAAAAAAAAAAATCCCCTGTGATGACAACACTGAATTTTCAGCAGCCATTACTCCAGTCTTTAGTGTCACATAATCCTTCAGAAATCATTCTAATATGCTGATTTGGTGCTCAATTTTTTTTTTTGTTATTATCAATATTGAAAAGATTTGTGCTGCTTAATATTTTTATTGAAACCATGATACATTGTTTCAGGATTCTTTGATGAATAAAAAGCTAAAGAACAACATTTGAAATTATAAAATTATAAATGTCTTTTCTGTAAATTATGATCAATTTAATGCATCCTCGATAAAACTAATAATTTCTTTACAAAAAAAAAAAACTGACCCCAAACATTTAAAAAGCATATTACATTATATCTGATGATTAAAATGATATAAAAATATACGTATTTGCCAAATATTCCAGTGCCTTTTATAAAAATGAAATCACATGCCAGAGGGGTTTTATTATCCTTTGCTTAAACGTGTCAATTTGTATTTCCAGTGGCAGACGAGGTGTCACTCAGTCAAAAAATCCTTTCTTAAACCTTCGCTTGCTTTAATCATTTGAGTGATTAAGGTTACAGAGCTTCGGCACCATTTTCAGCTGGCAGAAGAATTAGCAAGTCTCCTTGTTTTGCATTCAACTTTTAACTCTGTCCCAGAAGTATCTGAATATTATTATGAACACTGATGGGTCGGTCAGCTTCTGAATTTTAAAGGTGATGTCATCCTGAAATGGGATTAGGACTGCTAAAATACCCATCCTGTGACCGTTCTAATTGTTCTACGTCTGTATCATAAAATATGAATGTCTGCAAAAGCACTTGGGGTTCAAGGTCTGGTCCTAATGTCTCATCAGACTGCCCCATTTCTAATTACCAATGAATCGCAAGAGCCCCGGTCTAACGAAACTTAACGTCTAAGAAATAGCAGCTAGGTCTGACACAAAGATATGCTTTGCTAAATCTTGTTTGCACAAAATGTAAATTATTTAAAATAATTAATTGATTTTGTGAGTATGAAGGTGGAAGATTTAAAGCCTTAAGTACAGAGTTAGGCAGAAAAAAACAGCTTAAAAACTCATGAAACATTTAAAGGCTGAGGCAGCAGGAACGACTGAAGAGAACATGTTATTAAATTGTGAAAATGCATATTATGGTGTACAGAGGGCAGTCAGGCTTTGCTGTGTCCACAAAGGATCTCTGCTTCAATACATTTGTCTTGTAATTTTTCATCACCTTTATGAGATGATGTATTTGCATAAAAACAGCATTTCATCTTTTTACGATAACCATTTTCTTCAATTCAAAAACACCATCCTTATTCCATGACGCCACACCACAAACCACTGCCCTTAAAATCATGTTTATGTACGAGAATTGTTTTTCTTCTCACCCTCATCCAGATTTGGCTTAGCAAGGCCATGTATTGTAATAATAAAAGCCTCCCTGTTTATATGGAAGCAGCAGCTTGGTAAACATTTTACCCTCAAATGGAAGAAAGACTCAAGCTCAGTTTCAAACACATCTGCAAAACGACCCAACAACATAGTGTGCTTTTTAAATTTGAATCCATTTAAATGCAACACTGGCACAAATCTATAGGCAACCTTTTGACCTGGGCTGAGATCATACTGCAGTCTGTCTTTAACTCCATTCATTATGTTAAGTGTGCTATGAACCACTTAGAGCTCAATCAAATCCACAACAATCAGCTGTCCTAATTCTGTACGATGACGGCATTTCTGATCACTCTAAAACTTCATACAAAAATGTACACTCTAAAGTCAGTAAAAACACATCCAATAATGTACTGTGTTCATTTGCACACTTGCGTGTATTTACAGTGTACTTACCTAAGAAAGTACTAGTAATATAGGGTAACTACATGGGTTAAGATTAGGTTCAGGGTTACAGTAGTAGCTAGTAATTAAAAGAAACATAAATAAAAGAAACAAAAATCATGCCTCCATGCTTTGATTGGCTGATCATGCTGTTGACAAGCTAATGTTTGTTATTTTATGATGGTCTAACAGGTGTGCAAATAGACCTGAATGGGTCAAAGTGGTGAAAATGAACAAACTAATTACAAAGTAAACAACTACCCCACTCTGACATCAACACATCTGGTCAAGTCCAAATATAAATGAACTGGGAATTACTGGAAACACCAAATGATCTGTGAGCTTGTGGTTTGAGTATCTGATGAATAATGATCTGAAAAGGTGACCATTATTATATCCTAATAATATATCATAAAGTTGACAATTATAATATCACAATCACAGTTGGTAATAAATAGATTAAAAAAGAAATATACTTAATATTGTTGTTACTGTATTATTATTATTATTATAATAAATATTAATATTCTTATTTCCGTAAAACATAAACGTGATGAGATCTAATGCAACCTGGTTAATAACAAGAATGCTATTGTTAACATAAACAATAAAATTATACAACAAAATATTAATATATTAGTTTCTTGTCGACCACGTACATTGAATTCGTGTATTATGCATCGATAACACGCACAAACCTAATGTTAGATTGACTGGGGAGAAAACGATGCTCTGTCCTGCATTAAACTGAATGCAACTTGATACAGAATGCTTTCTCACAATGTCTGGTTAACTGAGATTTGACAAGAGCAAATAAATTTAGTATAATTACCCATGATAAGACTGACAGTCCACGATCGGACTCGGTCGGAACTGAGGCGCTATTCTTCCTCCTTTTCCGGGTTATCTCGGTTAACCCCTCCTTGAAGCAGATGAGCCAATTGCAAATTGCATTTTCTCTGCACCCTTGATCACATGCATCCAATCGCAATATCTGATTGAGCGAGGCAAAATCGCATCGCGCTGTGCATGTGGGAGTCTTCATGCGTTGGCGTCTGACAATAAACCTCCCAATCAAAATCGATAGCGCTGTTCTACAGCATGTCTTAACCAATCGCTATCAAGCAGGGGCGGGCTCTAATGAGCAGCAAGCATTCAAGCACGGAGATTGTTTGTAACAGAGGCATAAAGTACGGTGGCCGAGAAGTGCAAAGCCAATCACAATTCTGAAAACAAAATAACAAATTACAAACGCAAATGCAAGTCTAAAAAACAAAATAACAATTCAGAAAGCACAACAACAATTCATGACTGGACGAGACATCTGTCAATCAACGTATACAGGGAAGAACCAGCCGAAGAACAGCTGAGTCGTGGTAGAAAGTTCGGAGATGGTATTAAAGTAGCTCAGTTTAAATGTATTGTATGAATTGCCCTTATTCTGGAATAAAAAATACGGGTTGTCTCTTTACATTTAGTTAAAAGTGACTATAAATTATCTGTTCCAGTGGTGCAGATGGATAAGTGTGTGCCCCTGCCTTTTTGACACGATCGATCAGGGTTCGATCCCACTTTGCACTTCTCGGTCACCGTAATACGGGGAGAAAAGAAGTGAAACGCTCACAGTCACACTCATAAATGAGCATTCAGACGCCATAGTAACACGGTTTACTAAAATGTAAAGCATTTGCTTCAGTTTTACATTTTGTTTTCCTTGGAAAACGTCGTGTCAAATGTGCAACTGTTCTGTTAAATGCTCTCCGCACCTGCAAAGTTCACGTAATATATCATCAGAGAGGACGTCTGTTTTGTGTGTGTGTGTGTGTGTATATATATATAATATATATATATATATATATATATATATGGTGTGTGTTTTTATGTTTATATATATTAGTTATGAGTGATTATTTTTTCTCCCAGTGATGGCAAGCAACAGTGGCATATTCTCTTAGTCACATACACCGCAGCTTTTTTTTTTTTTTAAATCGGTTATATTATCAGGCAGATTATAGAATTTTGTTCGTACAATTCAGACAGTTAAAGGAATTGTTCATCCCAAAATACATCCTTATGTTATTCCCAACCTGCATTATTTTTTTGTAAAACACAGATGTTAGGCACTGACAGGCCTTAGTCAACCTTCACATTTACGGTTTCATTTGAAATGTTTCTTCTTAGTATTTCCTTTTGTATTTCACAGAAGAAAGAAAGACCGGTTTGAAACAACGTGACGGTGAGTAAATGATGACAGACTTTCACTTTTGGGTGAACTATCCCTTAAATGTATTTTTTGTATAATGTCCTTGTTAACAAAACTGTGGTTTACATGAGAGGAACTTGAACTACAATAGTCTGGCACACATAGAGACTATATAGAATCTGTTCATCTGGAAGTGTAGACACTGTATTGACTGCTGATCAGCTTTTCAAAAGCTATTTTGTTTGTACACAAGATTGCTGACTATTGTGTATAGGACAGTATTCACACTCTCATATGGTTCAAAGTCCTCAAGGTTTAGGTTTCGTGAAGATAATAATTTGAAACCTCTTGTGAATTCTTCACCATTTATGGATACTGTGTTTATTGCTGAAAGAATGTTAAAGAGTTTGAATTCAACAATTCATCACTGCACGCATGTTATATGTGTAGCAAATAAGGACAGCTGGCCTTTTCCCAGAAGAGACACATTAAGATTACTAATAATTTCTGCGATAATAGGGACAACATGATCTGTAGCTCTCTAGGTGAACATTCGCATTACCTTCCTCAATATGCACTAACTGCTATTTAGTATGTGCGCCGCTAATAGATATTTTAATAATTCATCAGTATGTATTGTAAATTATTAAACTCCCTGTATGGTCATTGGTGCCGTCGAACCTAACCTAGTTTAAAGCCATTCATCCTGACAGAAGTAAGATTGATAATTTAGGTTAAACGTAGGTGGGTTATAAGTCTATGTGTCATGCAACAAATAACATGCATTTGGCTAATATTTAGACTAAAGTCAATATAAGCTGTTATCACTGCAAATGACCCCTAAAATTCAGAGAACAGTAAACGCCACTCATTAGTTCATTAGCTAGACCACACAATATTGATGCCGGGGTAGCATATGAACTCCATTTCTATTCGTCTATGTTTTCAAGAATCAGCAGAATTAGATTGAAGACTGCATCTCTGCTGTCCTAGAGGCATATTATGCTGTTGTCCCTTGACTGCAGTAACCATTGTTCTAATGTACATAATTGGCAATTGAATAGATTCAGAGCATTAAAAGCTGCTTATTTGCCTCTTGCAATGTAAAGAATGCTTCGAACCTGGTAATATGAGCTCCAAATGCACTGATCGAATGGTTGCAATATATAACCAGATTTATTAACCCATTTCGTAGGTTTGTAATTGTTTTGAAATAACGGGCTTTTCAAAGTACGGCTGCTTATTGCTATCACTTTATGCATAGACATGATTAAAAGGAATGTTCCAAACAGTCGTAGTTTGAAACGCACATAGTGTGTTTTTTTTTTTAATGGTTTCAGCTATATCCACTTGAAATTACGTGAACTTATAACCATGTTGTTGTGTTTTATCAGCATGCAACATAAGCCTAATCAACCCCAGCAACCTTGTGATAAGCTTAGCTTATGGCCAAAAGGTCTCCAACCTGGAGCAGATGTTCCAAAGCTTATATCAAAGCTCAAGCTAAAGTGTTCGTTTAGACAGATTGGATTTGCAGAGGTGTGGAGGGGTTGGAGATGTTGGCTTTGTGATTTCGGCAGGATTTGGACCATCAGCGGACATGCCTGGAGGATGACAGTAGCTGTCTGCGAGCTGAGATCCAGGAGCTGAAAACCGACTTTAGACCCCTCACATAAGTGATCCATCGTGCTCAACACATGCTCGGCCTGGATGTGAGTCACATGCCTATATTCCCTTGCCTCGTTCTCTCGCTCACTCACTCACTTGCTCACACGCTCTCCATTTTCTCCCTCACCCCAAAGTCATGGGACGGTCCCTCATTCATTTTTCAAAACTCATTTTCCGCCCTTGAGCTCAGGATTTTTAATTCTGGCTTCACCTTGACTGGTGGCCTTTGGGCATGAGGGATCAACGGAGCCGGGCTTTGATCCAGCATGCCGGCATGGGACTCATTTCCAGCTCTGCCACACTGATGCGACTCAGTGAGTTCAACTTGACCTTGTGGCTCCTCTGGGCCCCTCTGGCCGCAGTCGACGAGACCCAGCTCCCTCCTCCTCTCCATCCTGAACACCTCCAATAACTCGTTCTAATCAAACCGTTCTGCTCTCCGCAGCCCTGCCTTTGATCTGCATAATATGCCTCCTCCACCTCTTCATCTCCCTTCTCCGTTTATCACATCATGTGTGAATGCAGAACATCAGTGAAATGTTGTAGAAGGTTAGTATAAATGTTCACGTACAGTAGGTCTAGTGAAAATGGGTTGAAGGTCTGTTCGGATTGCAAACACCAGAAAAAAAATGCAAATAGCAAAATGTAACTAACCAGATGCTTCTACATATTTAGCATATACAAATTGTTTTATGTTTATATTTTAATTTTAACAGGCAGACAAAACATTGTTTTATTATTTTTAAGGCTGTGAGTCCAGTAATACTTGAGAGACAGCTTGCAGTTCTTGGTAATGTTAACACAATACAAAAAATGAATTATGATATAACCATAATATAATTCATTCATTCATTTACTACTACTACTACTAATTTAGGTAAATTATTATTAATAGAAAATGAAATGTAATTTCATAATTTACATTTTATTCATTAATTTATTTCAGTGTATATATTATTTATATATTTATTTATTTTCATTTATTTAATCTAATATTTGTGACCCTGGACCACAAAACTAGTCATAAGTAGCACGGGTGCATTTGTAGCAATAACCAAAAATACATTGTATGGGTCAAAATGATCGATTTTTGTTTTATGCCAAAAATCTATATTAAGTAAAGATCATGTTCCATGAAGATATTTTGTAAATTTCTACCGTAAATATATCAAAACTTAATATTTGACTAGTAATATGCATTGATAAGGACTTAATTTGCACAACTTTGAAGGTTTTCTCAATATTTTGATTTTTTTGCACACTCTGATTCCAGATTTTAAAAAATAGTTGTATCTCAGCCAAATATTGTCCTATCGTAACAAACCATACATCAGTGGAAAGCTTTTATTTATTCAGCTTTCGGATCATGCATACATCTCAATTTAAAAAAATTGACCCTTATAACTGGTTTTGTGGTCCAGAGTCACATTTTTTATTATTTCAATTTAACAAATTAATACATTTATATTTATTTATTGTATTATTATTATTATTATTATTATTATTATTTAAATTCAAGTGTAATTTTTTTCATTTACATTTATTTAAATTATATTAATTCTTTATTTTTTCAATGTTTGTTTTTATTTATTTCCATTTTTAAAATATTGATTATTATTTAAATGATATTTAATATATATATTTATTTATATTCATTCATATGTATTAAATTGATTATTTAAATTAACTTTTTTTCAATTTACATTTTTATTTAATAATTTTTGTGTTTGTATTGATGTCCAATATAAATTCTGCTACCTGAAAAAACAAAAACAATTGGGAACTGCTGATCCAAAATGCCTTTGCTGTGTGGGGTTTTTTCTTGACAGGTTCGCCATAGTCTCCTGTGTACAACGTGTCCATGCCAAGATCCTGCTGCTGTACCTTTAGCCGTGACAAGTCGGCCTGTGCGCCAGCTGTGCCCATGGGGCATCATCGGTCGTAACAAGAGTCGGTGTGCCCGCTTCAGTGCAACCCCATTGTGGTGTTGGAGGATAATAACACTCTGCTTCCTTTTGTCAGTGTGTTTTGCTGGATGATAAACACGGGAGGAAGGACCGGCAGAGGAGCTCAGGCTCAAAGAGGTGAGTTTGTGAAATCACAGCACAGAAGAAGGTGCAGTTGCCTGGTGTGTGCACTAATTGAAGCTCCTCCAGGCAACAGCCGCAGCAAACCCGAGCCCGTCGAGCAGCATCGGCAGGAGTGATGACTGGCTGTTCGGGGAAGGGTCTCTCAGGTCACTGTCGGAGGTTATGTTAATTCGGTTGTTAATGACTTCCTTTTTGAGTGATAATTGATCAGCTTCATTACCATATTCCTCTGTAATGCTATGTCACTAGGGCAAAGCTCGGTCTAATGAATGCTCCGTTTGATTTCTGAAATAATGAACTAATTAGACTAATTAAAATCAATAGAGGTGCCAATACAAGGTTAGGCATCAGACGGCGGTCTCTATCTGTGCTCTGCCCGAGTCACCAGCTCAGTTTAAAGGAACCTAATGCTGATTTATGGGCTCTTGATGGTCATTAGTTAGAATAAATTGCGCCGAGGAGCCAAGACAGCATTATTCAAGTACAGGATACTAAGTGCATTGTAAGGTCAGCAATAAGTGCAAACCTACATATGTAGTTGAATGCCCTTGTAAACCTTTGTTAATATATCAGGTCAGAACAGCGTCGGACAGCATCTTTGCACGCGGAGATTAGCTGCGCTAGTACAGACACTACGTTGAATGAGATTCAAATAACAGCATATTATAAAGGTGTTCTTTGATTTTTATCGAGACAGCCATGTCGGCAATTATTAAAGACCTTCTTGAAGCAAGGTCACAAACAATATGTTGTGATTACATCAGACTGAGCGATGGCTTATTGCTCTTTCATTAGTTTTCCTCTGTGATCGCCATGGGATTTTACTTTTTATTGGCTCTTGGAAGCCACATTTAGGGCAGATACATCCCCCTCCACCCCACCCCATGTGCGACTGAAAACCCTAATAAGAAGGTAGAGAATTATGTAAAATCCTGACTATTTCTGACAGAGGCAGGCCAAGCCAATGTGTATCGGAAGGGCCACCGCTGACCTAAATTCATGCATTAAGCTAAGATGCCAGTGGTGCAACCTTGATGGTCCATTTTGAGCCAGTCAGCCTGGTTATTTTTCTTTCCGTCGCCGCTTTGGGCGTTGGTCTGGGATCTGACGCCTTTTCCCGCTCCTTTCTGCCCTTATTTCAGCCGTATTAATGTTCAAAATGGTCCTGAGAAGTAATTTGTGTGATGCGACATCCATGTTTTGCCCTGTTATATATCAGTACGGACTTACTGGGCTTGTGTTGTGCACTTTTTTTTTCTCTGCAGGGTAGTTGACCATTACTTTAATAGTTTTTTTTCCCACACAGGCTTTAATGATTGAGTAGTGTTTGTGCCAGCTTTTGCCATTCCTCTAACAAATTAGTTTACTGTGGTCATAACCTTCAAAATGCTCATTACCATAAATTGCATGGCTTTTCATAAAGGCTGAGAGCTGCATTGACGAATCGCAAACAGGACCTTTCTCAGGACACTCAGTCCTGCTACTAAATTAGACCCACCGCTCCCCCCAGAGTTTCTTAATCAGCTAATGTTTTTATTCTCTTAATTTCAGCCTGATTTATCTGAATAACTAAAACAGACACATTTATATTTAGTTTTTTTGTCATGTCTAGGAAATGCGGTGTGTATGTTGCTTGTTCAGGAAATGACATCTGTGGCGTGCTGCCTTTGTAAATCCTTCCGATTTTTACTGTCCTTTTGCGCTTGAGTGTGAAAAGACTGTTTATTCACAGATCGTTCGTATTTAGTTACCTGCGGTTGCGATACGGCTTATGAGAATAATAGTATTTGCTGTTTGGCGCTGTAAAGAAGATTATTCAAAAAACTGTCATGCATCTCATGTCCTGGGTCAAAGGGAAATTAATAATTACAATCGATCTCAAAATATCCTTGTTTTGACTGCATTTCTTCATAAGCACCTTCTTAATAATAGTGATAATAATAATAATAATTTAGATGAATATTATTAAAAGAAAAATTAAATGTAATTTCATTTATTTACATTTTATTAATTAATTTATTTGTTTATATATGTATTTTCATTTTTTTCAATTTATTATTATTACTTAAATTTAACAAAAAAAATTTTTATAATTATTTTTATTGAATTTTCACTGTAATACAAAAATAACAAGGCTAAATTTAACAAATTAATACATTCAGTTATTGTATTCTTCTTCTTCTTCTTATTATTATTATTCAAATTTAAGTGTAATTTTGAAAATTGAAATTACTTAAATGATTCATTGTTAATTTTTTTATGTTTATATTTTAATTTATTTAAATTAATTTAATTTATTTATTATTATTTAAATTTAACATATTTTGTTTATTTTCATTGTTTATTTTTGTATTATTATTAAAAATGTAATATTTTTCATTCATTTTCATTATTTAATATTATTCATATTTACATTTAAGATAATTTTAAAATGCAATTTCATATTTTTATTTATTTACTGTACATTTATTTAATTAATTCTGATTTATTTATTTTAGTATATATTTAATGTATTATTTATTATTATCAGAATTTAAGTGTAGTTTTATCATTTAAATTTATTTGATCACTATTAATTATTTATTTAAATGTTTTATTTATATTCATTTATATGTAATAAATTGATTCTTAAAATTAACTAATTTTTTTTTTATTTCATATTTTTTTGTGTTTGTTTTGCTGTCCAATGTAAATTATGCTACCTGACGCAAAAAACAAAACAAAAACAAACTTCACACACATGAGAACTGCTGAACTAAACTGTGTTTGCTGTGAGGGGTTTGTTCTTGACAGGTTCACCATAGTCTCCTGTGTACAACGTGCCCATGCCCATAATTAAAATGCTTTCCATTATTTGTAGTATTCACGAAAAAAGCACAGATCTTCTGCATTTAGCTATCGACATGACATATATACTTATGAGAATAATAATATTTGCTGTTTGGAGCTGTAAAGATGTTAATAAAAAATAAAAAAACTCATACGTCTTGTGTCCTGGGTCAAAGGGAAATTAGTAATTGCAATCCATCTCCAAATATCCCTGTTTTGACTGCATTTATTGTATTGCTGTCTGAAAGAACAATGACAGGAAGAACAATAATGCCAAATAAAAAGGGCTTGATAAGCACCTTCTTAGTCAGATCGCACAGTTAGACGTAATTAAACAAGAGCGCTTGTGAAAAGCAGCTCTGGCTTTTCAGAGCAACCGATATAGCGGCGATTCCTCCTGGGGCTCAAAGAGAGAGGCTGTATGGAATTTAATTTCAGTTATTGTCTCTTCACGGTGGCCAGTAAGATTTTCTGTCTGAGTCGTAGCACATAATGGGAGGCTCTTGAGCTTCCTGATCACCCTTCCGTTTAGTCTTTTAAGCAAGTGCTCCATGCCTCGCTCCTCCAGCTTGCTTTTATTGTTTCTCTCTCAGTTTAATTCCCCTCAATGCATGCCAGTGTGGACGCCCCATCCTGCTTTACTCAACAATAATATCAAGCGTGCACCTTCAATGAGCGAGCTGTCCCGCGGCTCAGTCCCTCTGCTTAATTAGCCTCACATGCAGCCACACACACATTCGGTGATACAAAAAATATGAGGACACATACACACACACACACACACACACACACACACACACACACACACACACACACCTAATTTTCCCCTCAGTTTCCATTTTGTTGTTAACATTAATCTACTTAGAATTGCAAGGTGCACTGAGCAAAGCTAGTTTCACCTTAATCTTTTTCCCTTATGAAATTGAATAGTGGAGAAATCCTTAACATGGTTGTTTGTGGAGGTATATTTGTTGCTCGTGCAGCAATGCTGCATAATTGGTAATACCTTCTGAGTGTTTTTTTTTAAGTGCACAAGATCCATCAGTGTTCCTTCTTGTTTGTTGACTGCATTAAAGGAGTCTTGGCTACCTAAAAAGCCAAGCATTAGAGCAAAATCATAGCAAGGAGTTTCATCTCTGGATCATGCATAAAATATTACCCTGCTTTTAATGGCTGTATCTTGACCCTTGTCTCTGAGTATTGTGCCCCAAAAAAACAAGTGTGTCCATGTTTGCTTCTCTAATGCACTTGATGGTAAGAGTGGCCAAGTTATCTGGAAGTCACTGTAAGGTGACAGCTTGTGTGGCTGTACTTTTAAGAGATATTAAAGAGTAGTTAATCCAAAAAGTTAATTCTGTTATCATTTACGCACCTTCATGTTGTTACTTTTTTTTCATATAATGTGGATTTTTAAAGAATATCCCTATTAAAAAGTAGTTCACCCAGAAAGTATTTATCCTGTTATCATTTACTCACCTTTATGTCATTCCTTTTTTCCATAAAACGTGGATTTTTAAAGAATAAAAAAATCCTTGTCACTCTGGGTAAATCAAGCTCTAAAATGACTAAAATGGTCAGTGTGACTTGTATGTTACATTCCAGATCTTTGGAAGCCATATAATAGCGTGAGAATCAAACTGAAATGTGAAATTTTATTCATTCATAATCTTCTCTGAAGTCAGTGAGTGAGAACTTGAGAACTGGATCAGTCTGACTTGGGAGCAAATCATTCAGTTTGGTTTTGTGAATGGGATCAGTTGATTCACTGTCATATTACTTCAGAAGTCTTGAAATACAGAGCATGAGTTGTATAAACTACATTTTTGATACATATATGGTGTC